CTCAAAATATTCTAAGGATTAGAAAAATTTTCTTAATGGAGCTTCGAAAGTAATTCTGGGTTGTGCTGAATGGTTTTACTTCCCTTCGCTTTCTGATTGGTCCAGAAAACTCCACTAACTTGTAAACCAATCAGACTTCAAAGTAAAGCTAATCACAGCTTGGTCACCCGCGTTTTCCCGCCCTTAATACATCGAGTTCTCATTGGCTCCTCTCTACATTTTCTTCAGCTCTGATTGGCTGTTGCGATAACTTTAGTTTTGCTTAAACGAGATTCAATCCGAATGCACTCTCTAATGACATGCGTCACGTGAAAACAATTTTATTGTTCCTTTAGACTGAAATGGTAATATACGAAGAACATTTTGTAAATTCTGAAAAGTTACATTATACAAATACCATTATGTATTATTTGGATATATACCTTTGTGTACGACTCTGGAAATAAAATGGTGAAAAGGCAATAATTTAAACAAGAATAATTTAAATTAAATACTAGGTTAAGTCTTTTCCTTTCCTTCAGCCATGAAGAAGAGTTTTATAGTATACACCAAAGTCAAATATAAATTCACCCTCATAAAGTTAAGTTCTACAAATGACGCACATGACCTTTTTCATATTCACTGCACAAATTAAAATTGGTTGATTGACAGTTTACTAATTAAATAATAATTTCAATGGGTACTCTTAGTGTTTAATCTTCATGCATGTAATCAAACTCCAACCTAAGTTTTTCCAACTAAGGTACATCTTCTCCAAAACCAACTTTTCTTTCACAGACTCAACTTACTGGAGGAAGATCATACTTTAAAACACGTGCACCGAAATACTCCCAGCCATTTTCAAGCCTTTCCGTATAGAAACAGCAAGATACCAGGTTTTTAGTTGGGTTTGTTAAATCATGTTGGTTTGGTTAATGGAAGCTTAACTAAAGGTCAACTTTGGTAAATCTGATTTTTTTTAATTTGATGGTCCCTAGCAAAACTGTCAGGCAACAACTTGACAACAGCCAATCTCCTATTGCACTGGATTTGCAATCATAAGGAAGAAAATTAACGCCTGAGTGCAGCTTATTAACATGGCATTCTTAAAAACTGGTGTTATTGTTCTGTAGACTATGACCAAATTATGCTTGCATGCAGTGTACATGTACATGTGCATGTAGCATGCATAAATCAGGCCCAAAGATTTCTGCATGTATGCATGCACTTTAAATTGTAGGGATACATGTAGAATGCCGCTCAACGGATGCAGAGGATCACTGCATACATTTAAGGCCTCATGAAGAGGCACCCTGAATGCAAGAAAAAAACTGGCAAAAACAATAGCAATTGAAATTATTATCATAAGAAATATTTACAACTCATTGTAGAATTCAAAGCTAAAGTATCTACTTGTCATAAATTCAAAAATCATATTCCTTCCATAGAATACATCAGATAATAATATTTCAGTAACATTCTATTATATTCGTTAAATTACAAAAACAATTCACTATATATCAATGCCTGCATAAGCTAGAACCACAAGGGTTAGGTAAAGTAAAACTAAAAATCCTACAAGAATCCACCAGTAACTATATTCACCTGAAAAAGAAATGAAGATCAAACTGTTATGTTTTTCTCAACATGGACTAAGGAAATGTGGTTGCTTAACTCAGCTTTTCCCTATAATATCCATGCTCCTTTTAAGGGATATAAATGCTGATCTGGTTGAAGTAATTAAATTAATACATTTTGTTGTTGTTGTTGTAGTTGGTTTTTATGCATACTGTAAGAACACGTTTTCTGGTGGCCTTCCCTGAATAGCCATTGTTTATTATACCTTTATTTCCTCTTTGGCCTAGAAAGTCACAAACCCTTGTAACAAGTAACAAAACTGCAACTACATGCAGTATCTTAGTTTCAGATACAGTGCAAAAAATATCTTAACAACCACCAATTGACCAAGCTGATGGGCTAGAGTTAGGGTCAGCATTTGAGGAAATAACAGGATGTTCTTTTTTTCATTCTATTTATCATCACCATTTTTTAAATCTTACGTTTTAACTTGGTGGTATGTTTCAGTCTTTATGACATTACGGCATCAGTTTGTCTAACTGCTATATTAAATTCTATTTTGAGGTTCAGTGAATTGGATTTAATCTGAGGCAATTAGATTGTAATAGTAAAAACAATTTATTTGTACCTCTTCTTTTAAGGGTAGTAACTTTACAAGCATTGTCAGCAGATATACTAAGCAATGCAAACTCGTTGCGCAGGTGATCATTGATGAGTGGAGAACTGGGAAGGAATGTTAGTCCTGTGACGAAGATGTTGTGAACACCCTTAAGAGTAGTCAAGGGCTGCAGACAGAAAGAATATAATTGTTTCTAAGAAAATAATGACAAACACTTTCATCATGGAACCTCTACAATTGACTGAAGGAAATTTACATAAGCATATGATACATGAAATTCATCACTACACTATACAATGAAATAACCAAAACTAATGAGGTCTTAAAGTGCAGAGGCAGGACATTGTCCTTCCACATGTATATCAATGACTGATGGTTTTTAGACTTCCACATCAGATTCAACCTTCCTACCCTTTATCATCGTTGTCCCAAGAAACATCCTGTAAGGCAATCCTTCTGGCTAAAGATTAACCCAAAACATAATACCTAAATATTGTGGCTGGAAAGGAATCAAAATGAAGCTATTGTCGGAAAGAATTTTTCCATTTCTCAGTGCATAAGTCTTGTACTTCAAGTTAAACAAAACCTAATTCATTAATTAAAATTCACATGATACTTACAGCCAGATTCCATGCAATGTAAACTGAGATATCACCTTCTGCTGTTCCGACTCAACAAATATCCCATTTCCACTGAGGAAAAAGTCAAACCAATATCGAATGAAATTAAAGGCCAATTATAGCTAAATTGCTCCCTCTAAGGATGGAAAAACACCACCATAAAATACACTGTAGCTGTCAAATGACATATACATGTACAACTTTTAAATAAAATCAAATTTGCAGGTTACATACATGTATAGGGGTGGGAAGATTGGACCTTTGGCAACTGTACCTGATAGCCATTTGTGTGAGAGGTTCAATACCAGCAGCCTGACTCAGTTGTGGCAGCCATTTTGTGCAGTCCCACTTGACTAAGTATGAAGGTGTTGGAGCCTTTCTACTGAACTTGGATGGCACATTTATTGTAAACAGACTCACTTCCTTTCTTTCATTGCTAGAAAACCTGCCAAAAAAGGATAAAAGAATTTAGATATTTAAATCAATTGTCATTACCATGGGTGCTTTTATTTTCTAAATGAAAAACATTGTTTTTGTTCTCTCAATTCCAATTTTACTTCTTAAAAAAATGGACAATTTTCAAGAAACGATTTCAAAAAAGAAGATTAAACTTTTCATACCTGCATGCCCTGATTCTAAAGAAGTTATCTTCATTATTAACAGAAAAGTACAACTGGAATTGTTTTTTGCCTTCTTCTAACCTCCACACATAAGCTGTTGTGTCTCTTGAGCATGTTACAAACTGTGAATATAGACAATAAAATAAAAAAAAAAACTTAAACAAATATCTTAATAGAGCTTACAATTACATGCAAATTACCAGGCAAGAATACTAATTTTCATCTTCAGGTGATGTTGTGCATGTACATAAAGAATCATATTAGTGACAGATAAATCCATTACCATTAAGACAAAAAAAAATATATAATATAGGTCGACATAAGGCCATGAAAAGTTTTTATTCTATTTTCCAGAGGGTAATTGTCCAACCAAGAGATACCAATTTTGCCATTTGCATGTGGTTTGAGGTCCTGGTGAAACACTGGAATGAGGCATTATCCACGAGTTTTATTCTTCTTCAAACTCTTGACTTTAATAAAGCATCAAACTCTAGTGAACTAATTTCTTGATTTGAATATCAATGACACATGTTTGAATTCTTCATGACAAGATGTGAAAAATTCCTGAACATTTCCATTTTCTTTATTCCTGAGGTGCTCTTGAGGAGCTCTTTCAAAAAACTTGTGCCACACGTTTCATCAGGATTCGCAAACACTTGAAAAACAATAAAAGCACTTTGCCCCCAGCATAGTGCTTTCATCTGTTTCCTGGTAAAAACTCCAATGAAACACTCACACTCACTTTCTTAAAGTAATATAGGATCATGTCGAAGGTGACCTTTTATATTTTAAGACTGTCTTTGATTAGTATTTTATTTTTAAAGTTTGACTAACTGAATTTTCCTTGCAGGCTAAATGAACAATGTGTTGGGGATTATTGAGTTTATCATAGTGCATGTTCATACCTGACGTGAATTAGGATGTACATCTAAATCATCAACATCTGTTGTGTGAGCTTTTATATCATGGATACTTTCCAAGGAGGGATACTAAAGCAAAATGAGCAAAGAGATAAAATAAAACAAAAAAAAAATGCAAAAAACATTACACTGAAAAAACAGTCATTTTTACAGTGTAGTGGCCTATATCAGTTTACATATAGATACTGCAGATACAAATGTCAGGGTGTAAACTAATTTCTCCTTACAATATCACCCCTGAATCACACATGAAGGTCACAAGAATAAAGGAAATGATCACCAAGTACAGACACTCTTCCTTGTTAACCAAATTCTCCTTGTCAGCACCTTAGGACATGTATAGAGAACAGTATAGAGAATATGCCTCCTGATTTTACGTGTAAAGGATTGAATTTGTCAAATCTGAAGAACCAAACAAAACTGACACCAAACAAAGAAAACTCCTCAACCACAAATTAAAATTAAAATTACAACAATTCGGGAGAATCATAAGCTCAAAATAACATTTAGAAATTCCCTTTTACCTTCAGAACCCTAACATGCCCATCAGATCCTCCAGTAATAATGTGCTGTCCGTCTGCTGTGAATCGCACAACTTTCTGAAAACCTACATCATCATCATCTTTTGAATCATTGTCCTCTGCTGAAACTGTCACTTTAGATTCTAATTCTTTGACAATAAATTCTTGTGTCTTTTCTTTGACAATAACTTTTTTCCTTTCACTTTTTCAGTGTTCTTTACTTCCTCCTTAATATCAATCTCAAGTAACTGACATTTATTGTCCATTCCAACAGCAATGACATTTGATGTTGGATGAATTGCACAATTCATAATTGGCCTCCTCCCAGCTTCAAAGTTATGGACTAGTGTTGCTTTGAGTTCTTTACTGTTTCGGCCAAGCTTGTAAATATTCTAAAAAAAAAGAAAGAGAGAGATTACTGCGCTGTCAGGATAAAAATTCTGCTGTTGCCTAATCTGATCTCATTGAGCATAAGTTGAATGTTATAATAATACAAAGCACACAGTACTGTTTGGTACAAAATCAAGAATTCCTTAGTACAAGTACAATATACCAAGCTTGTAAATGGACAGTTGAAGTTAGTTTGCCTCGTTAATTGCAAACTCGATTATAACTTAAACATATATTATTTTGGAACTTTTGATACATACATTTTCCCTACAAAAAAGATACGATTTTCCCTCAATAGTTTACATCTACTATCATCCCACGTTGCCCTTGCTCACCGCAAAAATAAGACTCGACACCTGTAAAAGCTTGTAGTTAAAACTTTGATTTGAAGAGTACCACGATCACACGAACTGTACGTTCTTTTGAACAATGAGTCGAGGAGTAGAATCAACTTATCGAATGAAATGTAGACGAATCCATGAAAAAAAAGATTAAACACAGAAAAAAAATAATAAACAGACACAGCAATACGACATGAACTATAAAATATTTGTAAAAATCAGTGTAAACAAGTAAAGAGCGAAAATACAAACCAAAGCATTTGGGACCCCGGTCTTCGCCGCCCCTCCACCACCGGCGATCAAAAAATGATCCTTGTCTAGGACGTTCACGGCATACAGAGGAAAATTCGTTGTCTCTAAAGTTGTGAAAGACATCTTCCTAAGAATTTACTAACGCTGATTATTCTACAAGTCAAAAGTTAAAAGATTCTGTCGCAAAGGTCTTCATTTGGTCAAAGTATTCGACGTGGCTCGCGCGGTTACATTGCTTATGGTTATAACCGCTGATTGGTGTTTCCTTTGTTCGCGGGAACGTTTCAAACAAAGGGTACATGAAAGTGCGCATGCCCCTGTCTTTTATCTTGTCTCTGTTGTTGCGAGAGAGCATCCGTGCGAGTTTTCTGGAAGAATTAAGGATTAAAGAAAAGCAAAATCAACGTAAATAATAGTCCTTGTCTGTTTTTTAGTTTGTTCTGTCTTTTGTTCCACATCCGGATTGGCCATTCTACATTTGCATAAATTATGGAAAGAGTCTAAACACTATTGTATTTTGGACATTTGCCTCTGGAAAACATAACGCTAACTGCGTGACTCAGACATATGTGAAATGATTCTGTCCTCCACTTGATGCAGTAAAGATTTAAGTAACACACGACCTAACTTCGCACCGACATAGCAAAGGTATTTATCTTCAAGTTATTTACACAACAGTAACCAAGAATTAGAAGCCATGACTAGTAACACAGTCCTTATCGGAGCTGCAGTGTGCTCCTCGCTTGCCGTCGGCTACCTTCTTGGTAAACTCCACGGCTCGTGCCGATATGCAGACGACTATATTGAAAGGCCTGGTAGAGAGTATAAGAAGACTGCTGGATTGAAAACGTTTCTCGAATATGTCGCCAAATACTCCTCTGCAAAGCATCATACAGTCACTGAACTGAGGAGGGTGAGTATTGAACTTTCTAAAGAGAATATAAACTGCCTTTCTCAAGAGAAAATAACGTTAAAGTGCTTATGACACGAAATTTTTTGCGTATTTTCTGGTTGATAGCGATATTTTAAATTAGAAATAATCGACCTTGGCGCCTGGCGAGTTCTTCTTGCTTAGGGTTAGGGTTTAGGGTTAGGGTTAGGGTTAGGGTTAGGGTTTAAGTTTTTTTTTGTTTTTTTGTTTTTTTTTTGGTGCATTGAAAGTACGATTTGGCGGCCAGAAAGTAACCCCATTAAGCGCGCAGCCAAAACGATCATATTACATAGCTGTAACGTTGAAAACTGTTAAGACACGTCGGCAACTATAGTGGAGAGAGGAGAAATCCAGAGGAAAAGACGAACCTATTTCCTGGCTGGAGTGCCAAATGGTGTTAGCTACAAGAATAATACACATATACCGAGTATTTCTTTACGCTACTTTCCAAAGGATGTAGTTGCGTGGTTAAAATGGACGCGTTTCGATCGTTGTCATCAAGGAGATTTTACTCTTCAATATCATTGGCCTTATGCTCTGTACCGGCTTCGAAGATTGGTTATCTTCAGGGGAAGATAACCAATGAATTCAGCTAAGAAGAATATCGATTAAGGGGCGTGTTCCCATTCCGAACACGATTGTTCGACATTCTTTTCGGCTGGCATTTCGCAAGCGAAGAAAGGTGATCTCCTTATTGTTATTTATTCCACGCGCTAGAGATGTACTTATATTCCTTGTCTTTCCGCATGACTACATTTGCGCTTTTCTTATCGTATGAAAATCAAACCAACTGTAGTTTCCATCGTATTTTAATGATAGAACTACATCATTTGTAATAAAGTTCAAACCCTTTCTTGAGCTGATCGATATCCTGTAGCGTGAACAGTGCGTAACCTCTGGCGGATATTGGCATAAACCCAAGCTCGAAACGGCCGTATATTCTCCTAACCTAGATTCCCGAAAATCCATCCCACGAGCTATCAATTCTCCCCGCTCTTAAGAAGCTAAAAGTAGCAACAGTAGCAATGTCATTGTGATAACAGCACTGCAACGAGATAAATAAAGAAACACAAGTTTTATTGAATTAGATGGTGGCGAATCCAAGTGCTGTGTGAAAATCGATTCATACGAAATATTCGTTCACCCATTGGGCGAAATGGGTCATATGGCGATGAGGTTAACTTGAATCAGATTACTCTAAAGAAATTTTTCTTCTCTCTTGAGTATGATGTATCACAACTCTCGGTAGAGCTTGCTGAAGGTAGGTCTACATCGTTATCGGTCATAATTTCATGAGTATTTCAACGCGTACATTTGATTTGTAGTTTTTACTTGTAGTTATAGTGAATTTAATGCTTAGGATTTTAATTTTTACGGTATTTAGAGTATTGTAAAGCGCCGTGGACAATAAATGGAAGATGGCGCTATGTAAATGTATTTAATTAATTAATTAATTAATTGAATAAGCTCTTGAATGGTATGCAAATTCTCCTCGTCAGCGCCTTAAGAAATGTATAGAGAACAGTGTGGAGAATATGCCTCCTGATATTAGGGAGTAAATGGTTAAAAGATCTCAAGAATTTTGCGGGAAGTTCGATCGAATTTCAAACCTTCAAAACTGAAGTAAAACCGATTTTCAACATAATGCGTGGAGGCAACTCTAAGTTACTCATAAAAAGTGAATTATCTTCCGGTTTCAATTTTGTGACCTCACGATTTACTTAGAATTTTATTGACCAAGAACAGATTCCGCCTTCTGTGCAAAAGCAAGGTTACATGCTCAAAATTGGCCTGATTCTGCTCAAATCAAACACGACTCGAGGTGACCAATAATAAATGTTACATTCGGCATAATTCACGTTCACATGTCCAGCGATTTGCCACTCCACAAACCATTATTTGTTTGTCTTAAGGTAATTTGCGAGAAGCTGGAGGAATTTTCACCTAAGGCGACAGAGGCCGACCAAACAAGCTTCATAACTCAGTTGGCAAAAGCGATCGGAGCAAGAAAGGTTCTCGAAGTGGGTATGTTGCATTTAAAATTGAAATAAACAAAAAAATATCACTTTAAATTATCCTCAAAGCTGAAGAAAGTTTTAATTTAAAAAGAAGTACAGGTTAAAGGGTTGCTTCTACATTATGTGAGAGCAAACCTTAACTCTGAATCCTTGCTGCAAATTTTTGACAATTCACTGATTTCTTGTGGACGAAATTTGTTTTCATCTTTCATTTCTTCGGAGCTGCAGCACTTTTAATGTCTTTCTAAAATTTGTCTGATTTCCACTTCGAAACGATGAAATGCACGCTGTTCGTGACATCAATGGAATGAAAGAAAAATGAAAGAGCGGATAAAATCCGAGAGTAACAGAACATTTTATTAGAGATCCTATAAATAGATAATTGAAGACAAGAATGAGACTGGCGTCACCAGCTCACTTTTGTCCTCTCCAAGTGTGTTGATAAAGTAAAAGCAGCCATTGATATAAGCTGTGGAATCACATTTTTGAGTAATATAGGAGAGCTATTTAATTTAGTCTAGCTTGTCCCAGTTAGTAGAACGAAGTGCGGCAGTGAACGACACTATAGTAGCGGGTTAGGAAAAAAAACGAGGGAGGAATGGGTGGAACCAAATTATAATCTCTTTGCCCAGGTCTACTAGCGCTACTATCGTACCGTTTACTTTTCGCTCCGTTTGCGTGAACAGACTAACATAACTCAAGCCAGTGCTTAGGAATAGTGGACTGTATCATTTTCACACGCAGGGACGTTCGCTGGCACAACTTCACTTAGTATTGCGCTTGTTTTACCCGAAGACGGTCAAATGGTAACAATAGATTTCAAGGAGGACTGGGTCTCCACAGACGCCCAATCTGGGAAAAGGCAAGATCGTCTGCTTGGTTTTATTTTGTTTTGTTTTGTTTTTTTCATACTATATAAAAGTACTGGCGATTCTCTCTACAGTGTCAAAAGTGTTTGTTTTAATTTAAATTACAAATAATCTCAACCAAAATTCTTACTGAAATTGATTATATTGGAACCGTCTGGACCATATAGTTTTACCTTTGTTTTTAGATCAATATTAAGAGACCAACTTTTGTGTGTAATGCTAGCGCAATGTTTTTACGCAAAAGTCTGAGGGAAATAGCTTTCCGTGCATATTAAATAGTCGTATCAAGATCTAAGTAACGAATGTGATAAATTTTTTATAGAAAATACGCAATATAAATATTAAATAATATTATTATTTTTATAAATAGGATGTTTGTTATCGCGCACTCACTGTGGGTATTCAAAAGGAGACAGCATGCAAATAATGTTAGCGATAGTAATAAGCCAATAAGATTCGAGGATTTTGTCATTATTATGTCGGTTCATTTGATTAAATAATATTTCACTGCCATTTTACAGGCTGGGGTAAGCCACAAAATTAGGTCCATAATAAAGGACGCAGCCCAGGCTCTCGGTAAGTTACAAACTACGTCAATAGTGTAAGTGACGCATTGAGGATGGTTGTATTAGCTAGCTTTAAAAAGTCATCATTTAAATCGCAAGCCACATACTATCGGGGATGGAGAGTAGGAATGGCGCAGAGCGGGGAAGTGAGGATGGCGCAGTGGTGATGGCACTCACCTGTTATCTCGGTGGCTCGGGTAACATTCCTGCACCGAGTGTTACAAGTGGGTCGAGTGTTATTGTTGGCTCTCGTCCTTGCTCCGAGGGTTTCCTCTCCAGGTCCTCCTTTTTTGCACTCTAAGTTCCATATCGACTATGATTCAGTGGACAAGAAGAGCCACCTCGTAGAATGTTCACAGCTAAATTCCCATTATTACTATTATTATCATTATTATTATTCTTATTATTATTACTAATCATGTAATAAATAAATCCAAGCTTATAAAGTCAGAGTGTTAGACAGTGAGGGAAGGTTAAACATTCGCCTCAAATCGACTTTCTCTTTTTCACTTTTTCTTTCGTCTATACTTTTCCTTCTATTGCTTTTCTTTTTAGATGAATTGATTGTTAATGGAGAAACTGGAACTTTTGACATGGTTTACATTGACGCAGATAAGTGGAACTATCCTGTGTATTATGATAAATGCATGGAGCTTGTACGCAGAGGAGGAATTATTCTATTGGACGATGTAAGAATGACTCACCTGTATGTTGTATACAAGTTTCGACAAGCTCATAACCTGAGTTTGGAGCCGTGATAAGTTCTGTGCTGGCCTTAATTTTTCCACTATCACTAAAGCTGAACGCAAATGTTTTTCAACCGTGCAAGATGAATTATAAAACAATAGATAAACGTATTTGAAGTTGTCTTAAGGGAGCATTCTGGGAAAGAGAATTTAAGAAGAAAATCGATTTGTGAAAACGCTCCATAAAAAGAAGTGCTGGAGTTGCTTAGTGCAAATCGTATAGTTTTAGGTGCAGTGGGTGAAAAAGATCTTTAATTCACTGAACTATCTTATCAACATAATTTTTATTGTAAGGAACGATATATGTGCCGATGAAAGCTGTTGAAACCTAACCAATCACAGTGGAGAACAATGCCAAACCGGTCAACCCATCTCCACAAGCAGTAGCAGCAAGGAGTTAAAATGTGACGGTCCATATTGGAAATGATTTTATTGAGAGACAAACGATGATTATTGCATTTTAACGCGATAAACAACCACATTATTTATATAGTGTAATTCGTAATGTTTTATCTTTCATTTAGACGCTATGGGAAGGCTATGTTTGTGACCCAAAGATCAACAAGGATGGCAAAACATCAGAGGTTGAACCACTCGACTATCAGAGAGATTCAATTGAGTTATACAAGTACCACCTTCCGTCAATATACAAAAGGATTGCTGTCCACATGCACGCGTTGAACAAGAAAATAGTTAAGGATACACGGGCACTGGTTAACATCTTACCAGTTGGATCGGGCCTTACCATAGTCACAAAATTGTGACGTGTTATGAATTCTTGACCCATTCATTGTTTTCAGTTTCCACGTAAATGATGATAAATCATGTTTGCTTTCAATAAAGTTATCAAATGCTAAGTAGGCCTGAAAAGAGCAGCTTTATGAGGCTATGGTGTGTCTTTCCAGCACTCAATTACTAGTTGAAATCACTAAAATTACTTTTGTGAGAAAGAGGGCACGATTAGTGACGATAGGACTTACTGTGGTTGACTTTTGTTGACAGTTCTCATAAATTGGTCAGTCGGTTGTCAAAGCCCCGAAATTTTTTCTACTCAATTGCTGTATTTTCTCCTCTGTTAACCCTTTAATCCCTAATAATGACAAGGTTCTAATTTCTCCTATCAAAATCACCCCTGAATAAACGGTTTAAGTATTGAGAATAAAGGAAATGATCAGCAACTGATGCAGCTCTCAATGGTTTTGGAAATTCTCCCTGTTAGAACCCTAGGGGATGTATAGAGAACAGTATGGGGAATATGCATAATGATGTTAGGGTGTAAAGCAATGGTTAAGCGGTCACCTCCATAAAGTAGTCGCGGTTACCCTTGACTGAGTCCCAACGGCCTGTTAATTCTAGATCTATAATTGTTCTTCACCTGTATTGAACGGTCACTTCAAGCGGAACCACTGGAATTAAATCAAGAATAATCTTTCCAGAAAAATTGAATCCATGTTTGGCTACCGAAATCGATGTTAATAGCCAAAAGCTGCGTTCATTTGATGGGTCAGTGAAACATGTTTTTATTAGCTGTCAGAAATTTGCCATGAAGTGTTTCAAAAATGCAAGAGATATTCTACTTAAGTTAACTGACAGCTGTTTAATTTGCAAATCATATCGCTTTTCACCCAACACTGGTGACTTCACTGACATTTGTTCTGTTTGTACTCAACAGAGAGGTAAATCGTTTCAGTTTTGCACGTAAGCTGCGAAAGCAGTTTAATTAGCTAATAAACTTTTCTTCTTTCCATATTCTTTGTCACTATAGCACTTCCCTTTTTCTCAAAAGACAGCATGATGATGTACAAACTTAGACCTAAGGCAGTAAAATCACCCTTTGGCAGGACATATACGTCAAGAAAGGGTAACAAATTGACTCTTGTTACGAGAAAGATATCCTAATTTTGAACCACTGGAAAAATGTTGCAGAAGTTAAATTCATAAAAATATTGACTACAAATGTCAATAGTAGAGAAATATCTTCATTTTACCTTGTGTGTCAAGGAAATAACTGGAAGTTGCCATCTCACTGAACGGACATTTTATTTCCAAGAATCTACTTTCTTAGCATTGGCAACCCAAAAAGCTACTGTATGCAATACTTGTTTTTCGATCAACGCTGCACAAACTTGCTAGCGCTGCCCACTCATTTTGTTTTGACTGATAGTAAGTTCTAAACTATAAGTAAGTTTAATTCTAAAAAGGTTTTGATGATAAGTTGTTATCTTAGACATAAATGCATACTTAGTTTTGAATTATAATATCATACATGAATAGATGGATATACATGTTTTTAGAGGAATTGAAGAGATGTTATACATTTTTTTCTGTTAAAGCCACGTAGGAAGTTTTTTAATGCATTTCAGTCAATTTATAGTAGATGTGTTGGTAACAATGTGAAATTAGCCTCATTGATTGGCCCAGCCATAATTGTCATAGTGTATTTGGATGAAAGTTAAAGCGAACTTTAATTTCAAAGTGCTGTGTCAATCTATCATGCCAACTGCGTGTAAAAACGAAAACGTATACTCACTATTCGACACCTAATGTAAGCGGCATCATCCCCTCCCCCCTGTCTTTTATTGATACGGCTTTTAACACCTGTGCTTCCTTTAACGATTCTAGCCAACGAGATAATACCTATCATCAAATCTAGATTCAGTCTCCCGGCAAAGTAACGGCGGAAATTGGTCTGGTATTGAATCGGAGGTTGGTTCATCGCTTTCTTTGGTCTGGTGGGAATAACCTGAATTATTTTCATCATCGCGAGAAGAAGAAGATTTCAAAAAACAACAAACTGGTTCATCGTTTTCTTGGCGGTAGCTGATCTGGGTGTTACTTTCGGATATTTCCCGGCCTCCATGATATGCAAAGTGCTTTTATAGATAGTCGCACAATTTAAATTCAAGTGGAAAAGGAAGCTTTCAGTCCATTAAGTCCGTGTACAATAATTGTGTCGACAAAGACATAAGATTAGTCTCACTGATTGGCTTCGTGTTGTTAAATTGCATATGAGCTAGTAATTATAGCGAACTTTAAAACCAAGATAAATTTATATTAGCATGTTTATTCATTATGGGACTAGGAAGGTCGCTACTGCATCATGTAGTTTTATTTCCATGTTCGTAAGGAGCTATTATTTTTGAATAATAGATATCGGAGAGCAATTGGCTGGTGAAGGAAGGACTTCTTCTGTTTGGAAATTTTAATTTTAGGCCATTAAGCTTTTTAAAGCTTGAAAGCTCTCGTGACAGCCTCATACGGGGTTGTATTAAAAGAGATCACCTCTGGGTTGCAATCTGAAACCCGTTGATTTAACATCTATGCTTCCATCAAGAGCCATAGTCGACAGCAAATCTACATTATCAGATCCAGATTCAGTCTCACAGCCAGTAAAGGATGGATTTTGACTGGATTGTTGGCTGGTTTTTCACTTTCTTTAGTCTGATGGGAAACACCTGGGTTATTTTCCTCATCGCAAAAAGAAGAAGATTACAAACAACAGCTAACTGGTTCATCCTCTCCTTAGCGGTGGCTGATTTGGGTGTTACTTGTGGATATTTTCCGGCGTCCATGATCTGCAATGTGCTTGTGGATACATGCAACGACGATGTTCGCCTGAGGTTCGCTGATTTCTTCGTTGATGCTTCACACATTTGCTTGACCACTTTGGTTGCAGAACGCTATATTGCCATCGTCCATCCCTTAAAATACTTCCGTCTCCTGACGTCAACTAGAACAATTTTCATTATTGCGACCTGTTGGGCAATTCCGTTTTTTTCTCTCGTTTTTCGATTCATCATTTATCTTTTCGGCAGCCAGGATTTTGCTGCAGAAACGGCTAAATTTGGTGTCATCTTCACCGTGCTCTTTGAAGCGTTACCAACAATTCTTCTTTTCGCGGCACATTTTCATATCCTATTAATAGCCCTCAAACTTTCTCGCGAGATGAAAACTCTTTTGAAACAGGTTAAATTTAACGTAGCGACAAATTCAGTGAATATAATGAAAGTTAGAAATGTGGGATTAAAATCACCCACGGTGAGGTTGGTAACAGTACTTGTTATAATATTTGTTGCTTATTATGGATTAGAAATCCATGCGTCAATCTGCTTTGGCTTTAATTTTTGCGATGTGTCTAAGCATGAATTAGTAGCAGCAAATTTGCTGCTTTTGGCCAATAGTACGTTAAATCCTCTTGTTTATGCGTTCCTCAAAGAAGATATCAAGAGAGAATCAAAAGCTTTCTTTTGCCGCAGAAGGAGACTTCAATTACATCCGTTCTAAGTTCATCGGGAGTAGCAAGCCGGGAGATGAATTCATGCCAGGAATTAAAAAGGGAATCAAAAGCTTCCCTTTACCGACTTTACCGCAAAACGTATTTAAAACTAACGTCTTCCAGGTCACAAGACGTTTGAAGACCAGCAATGATAGTAAGAAAAACATGGAATTATACTCAACCACCGATCTTTGACAAATAATTACAGCGCAAGTAAGAGTAGATTGTCAGTGGTTGAGGTGGCTTCTTTAGCAATTAATGGCTTAAAACAATATTTCCACGCTGCGTTTCAATTAATTTTCGCCTCAAAACTACTCCTACATTGCACACCTCAAAAAATGTTAGGCGTTACCTAATTCCCTCTGTCAACTTTGGCGGACAAGTTCTAAGTCTTAAGCACACAGTGCCTGGTTCGTTACACATGAAGTCAATTTTATTTTGAAAGCACTACTTCAAAGTTAACGTAAGAAAGAGATTCATATTTTTAACGTAGGTGAGGAAGACCCACAGAGGGCGCGTTCATCAAGATAAGTGTCGCTTAGTTGTGCGTTTCTATGCTATTCTACTATTCTTTATCTTTTTGCTAAATAAAAGTTATTATCAAAAATCTTTGTGGTTTGGTCCCTGTACGATGTCAAAGAAATATTTATGCCAACAGCTGCATACAGTTTGATGGTTCAGTAAAAAATGTTTTCCTCAACTGTCATTAACTGTCATTTGTCGACAGCAAATAAAAAGCTTAATTTTTTGCTGGTGCATATTCATGTTAGCCTTTGAGAGCACAAGTTTTTATAATTTCTGCGTTCAAAATTACTCGCGGAAAGTTCACCAAGTGCTCAGCGTGATCAGTGAATTAAGAATGCACGTTATTTAGTCTGGGATCTTAGGCTACTGAATCCGTTTACGGCAGCGTGGAGCTCTGCCAGTACCAATCGCTTTCACAAATTATTTTTTTTTCTTTTCTCTACAGAATGATACTTTTTCTCTCTTCTTTGGGCCTGTATTTTTCTTCTTTTTTTTCCTTTTTTTTACCAGAATTTCTTCCGCTTTTGATTTTTCCAGGAGCAACGATTTTTCCACAAGCAAAGAGCTTCCACATGTGAATTTTACGAAGCGCGCGATGCAAACAAAACATGTGAACAACTTTTGAAAAGAGCCCTAAGATGAGCGGTTGTCGCGAAAATTCCCCTAGCAGAAAACCTCCTTTAAAAAAAATCGCGATTTTTTTTAATACAAGTTTTTTAATACAAGTCTATGTGCGGCTGGCTGATACGTTTAAAGATATCAACTACATGCCTATTGGACAACAATTTCACATTAAGATAAAGATTTTCCTCTAACGTTAACATGTTTATTCATTTTATTACAAATTATTTTTCGCAGTAATTTTAATAATACTTTGTGGTTAAAAAAAAATTTAATAGAAAAGTCAGTAAAGTCGCTAGAGAGTAAAGACGATATTATCTGCAAATTTCACAACTACATGCT